GCACATTTGTGTGACACACGTAATAAAAAAAATACATATTTCAAAATATTTTATTGAAATAAATTCATTTTCTTGTAGCTTTCCATTTTTTATACCCTACACCACTTTAGTGGGGAGTTATACCCTACACCACTTTAGTGGGGAGGGTATATTGGGTTTGTGTTGATGTTTGTAACGCACAATAATATTGGTCCTATACCCACCTTAAAGTATATCAATCGGCTCAGAATCATTTTCTGAGTCGATTTAACTATGTCCGTCCGTCTGTCCGTCCATGTAAACCTTGTAATCAAACTACAGGTCGCAATTTTAAAGATAATTCAATGAAATTTGGTACATGATCTTCTATTGTCCCAGGGACGAAGCCTATTGAAAATGGTTAAGATCGGTCCATTATTTCACCTAGCCCCCATAAAACTGAACCCCCCAATAGGGCTTGTAATCCTTGTAATCAAACTACAGGTCGCAATTTTGGAGATAATTCAATGAAATTTGGCACATGATCTTTTATGGTACCGTAGACGAAGCCTGTTGAAAATGGTTTACATCGGTCCATTATTTCACCTAGCCCCCATACAACTGAACCCGCCGAATAGGGCTTTTAAGTTCATAATTATGTTTAATATACTCATATCTCGACAAAAAGCTGCAAAAACCAAGTTGTATACAAGACTTGATGACCCTCACGAATTCCATAATAATAGGTTCTCATATGAACCTAGCCCCTATGAAAAGCCTCCATCAAAATTTCATTTAAATGTCCACAATTTTATTCAACAATAAACGGCTTAAGTATGTATATCTTAGGCAAGGAACAAATCAACTTAAATGCTTTATTATGGCAACTAAATCACATTATATTTTTGTCAAAGGTGTAGGGTATTATATGATCGGCCTCGCCCGACTATAATTTCTTACTTGTTTTTTTATTTTCTTTGTGTATAATAAACAAACAATTGATTCCGTACGTAATGTGCTGTCAGTATCGCTCTTTGCTTAAGCAAATAAAATTTGGCGAAACTTGACGAAACTTTCTTAAGTACATTATAGTTTGTCACATACATTTTATATGTGTTCGCACAGTTACTTAACCGTTATGTCAATACCCACATACCCGGGTATGTTTTTCATTTTTAAAGTGATATATCTCGAGATCTATATATCGTATCGGCTTGAAATTAGGACTATGCTTTCAGTAATGTTTTCTATATATATATATATATATATATATATATATATATACCGATTTATGACCGATTTTCTACCCTGCCATGTATACAAATTATATGTCAGTTATCGGACAAAAATTAGGTTAGGTTAGCTTGATAGGAGGATGTATACTACATCAAATCCGAAGAAATACACCTACGCCACTATCGGGCCTGTTGTGCGCTCCAATTCAAGAAAAAAAATGTGGTTCACAATAGTGGGAATCGACTTAAAAAGTTTTATTTCTCATTTAGCATAGCATCATTAAGTATAATTATGGAATATTTATCGTCCAATCTTCCCTCAATCCGCAATAGAGACCTTGTTTCAAACAAGAAAAAATAATTCCATCCACTATGTTAAATGATTTTCGTAGTACATTGGGGACCAAATCCAGTGTTGGAACGTCTACGTACAGCTAAACCGATCATTTCAGAATTAAATAAATTGACTTTAGATTAGACTATAGACTAAACCAGGGGTCGGCAAACTTTTGAGTCTGAAGAGCCAAAATTTACAGTTTACAAAACATGGGTTTTAAAAGAGCCACGAAATGTTTGTTTATTAAAACATTACAAATACTTTATGAATTCACTTCAAAAACATATTTTTGTTTAATTATCTACAAGACGATTCTGCAAGGAATCTTTCTTATAGATTTTTGACTACTAACACTTTTAGAATTTTTATGGGTCATTCGAATGCGTTTTTTAACACTTGTTATATAAATATATAACAGTTTATTAGAGTGGAGCGACAGTGATATAATTTAAAAGGCATTTGCCATAATTCAGTATAAAGAGTCACAGTTATGTATATTAATTAGGCAGCAATCGAGATAAAATGTTGCACAAATTTTTCATACAAACAGAAATTATACTGTAATGTATTGCGTACATTGAAACATAATTGACCAACCCCAATATAAGGTTCCATTCAGAAAATTACTCTAACGATCATAATTGACTTAACAGTAGCAGTATAGAGACAAAATTCGACATAAACAAGTTGTATAAGAACAAAAATCTATCTTCCAAATTTGATTTTAACACTCATAACTGGCTTAATAATGGCAATTTTATGACGAAATTCAACACAAACAGGAACAAAAATCACTTTACCAAATTTGGTGACAATCGGCTCATAATTGATCCTACCCCCCATATTAGATCCCCATTAGAAAATGATCCTATCGCTCTTAAGTGATTTAATAATAGCAGTAAGCGACGAAATTCGACACAAACAGGTTTTATAAGAACAAAAAATATCTGTACCAAATTTAATAAGGATGTATTCAAAATTGACCCTTCCCCCCATATGGAGTCCACTTTCGAAAGTTCCGACATACAACAGGCTAAAATACAAGTATAGTGATGAAAATCAACACAAACAAGTTTTATAGCATCCAAAACTTCATTACCAAATTTTGTAAGGATGGGTCATTAATACGCTTTCTGGTCCCTTATTTATAGTCAAACATTTTATGTCAAAAATATATCAATCTTTCATAGATTTATAATTTTTTGTACCTTTTTATAAAAAAAGATTAAAATTTAAAGTTTTGAGATAGACTAAGTTTTTAGTATTTAACTGTATCAAAATTCTCCACATTATTAATTAATTACTATATTTTAAATTTCCAAAATATATGTTTTAATTCGAAAAACACGAAAATTTCGGAATGTATGATCAAGATTTACATCTTATCTAATGGCACCTCGTAGGATCACTGATATGATACCCCATTCGTTTATAGGGTAATTTTCAATTAACACTTTAAAGAATTAAACATTTTCTTACAATATTAACTTGTACATGGAACAAATTCAATGGTAGTGATAGGTTTGTATGGCTTTAGAAAGCTTGGATCATAACTTGTTTAAAGTTTCAAAAATGACTCTAAATTTTCATTTGTTAGTTGGCTTTTTACCTAAATCTTCCAACTTGCTTTTAAACTTTGACAATTTTCCACAACACAAAGCTTTACTTTTTAAATTGATCAACTGCATTTCTAGAGATCCAATACCAATTTCAAATGGCTCAATGAGGATTTATTCTCAAATGTACAATTGTAGGGGCAAATAAAAGCAAGGAAATGAGCGAAAAGCTAATTGTGTTCTTTCTTTCTCACTCAAAAAGTATTTGTTTTTGTTTTGTTCATGTACAGAACGATTAAGCAAAGTTAAAAAGTTTTGTATATTGTAGAAACGTTTGCGAAGTGTTTTGTTAGTTTTAAAACATTGCTCGTTAATCGATTCGGAAAGATTTTAAAATATGCATACAAATATTTTTTTATAAAATAAATAAAATTTGTGTATGAAACTAAAGAGCCACAGCACCACATCCAAAGAGCCGCATTTGGCTCGCGAGCCATAGTTTGCCGACCCCTGGACTAAACTATAGACTAGACAATAGACTAGAATATAGACTAGAATATAGACTTAACTATAGACTAGACTATAGACTATACTACAGACTAGACTATAGACTAGACTATAGACTAGACTATAGACTAGACTATAGACTAGACTACAGACTAGACTATAGACTAGACTATAGACTAGACTATAGACTAGACTATAGACTAGACTATAGACTAGACTATAGACTAGACTATAGACTAGTCTATAGACTAGACTATAGACTAGACTATAGACTAGACTAGACTATAGACAAGACTATAGACTAGACTATAGACTAGACTTTAGACTAGACTATAGACTAGACTATAGACAAGACTATAGACTAGAATATAGACTAGACTATAGACTAGACTATAGACTAGACTAGTCTAGTCTATCTATCTATCTATCTATCTATCTATCTATCTATCTATCTATCTATCTATCTATCTATCTATCTATCTATCTATCTATCTATCTATCTATCTATCTATCTATCTATCTATCTATCTATCTATCTATCTATCTATCTATCTATCTATCTATCTATCTATCTATCTATCTATCTATCTATCTATCTATCTATCTATCTATCTATCTATCTATCTATCTATCTATCTATCTATCTATCTATCTATCTATCTATCTATCTATCTATCTATCTATCTATCTATCTATCTATCTATCTATCTATCTATCTATCTATCTATCTATCTATCTATCTATCTATCTATCTATCTATCTATCTATCTATCTATCTATCTATCTATCTATCTATCTATCTATCTATCTATCTATCTATCTATCTATCTATCTATCTATCTATCTATCTATCTATCTATCTATCTATCTATCTATCTATCTATCTATCTATCTATCTATCTATCTATCTATCTATCTTATCTATCTATCTATCTATCTATCTATCTATCTATCTATCTATCTATCTATCTATCTATCTATCTATCTATCTATCTATCTATCTATCTATCTATCTATCTATCTATCTATCTATCTATCTATCTATCTATCTATCTATCTATCTATCTATCTATCTATCTATCTATCTATCTATCTATCTATCTATCTATCTATCTATCTATCTATCTATCTATCTATCTATCTATCTATCTATCTATCTATCTATCTATCTATCTATCTATCTATCTATCTATCTATCTATCTATCTATCTATCTATCTATCTATCTATCTATCTATCTATCTATCTATCTATCTATCTATCTATCTATCTATCTATCTATCTATCTATCTAGTGATTAAGAAACATTTACAAAAATTATATATTTTTTTAAAATGCATTTTTAGAAATTTTAAATACTCTTTTTATATTTCAGAGTGTTTTTAAAAAATCTCCTGGTACACGAAGATAAAACGCTCCAAAAAATACGCGAAAAGTACCGAAATGGCAACACTGCTAACTGGTGCTTCAGAATTAAACACACTGCCGAAAGGCAAAAGAGAGTTCGCAACAAGTGGTTATGACATATTTGTAAGAAAATATTTTTTTTTATTATTGCTTTGATATCCATTCATTATGTATTTTTAATAACTAAAAAGCCCTGTGTTTAAAAAATAGAAAATATTTCAGAGGCTAGCAAACAGATAGAATAACAAAATCCAAGTTAAATTATACTTTAAATACATATGTATAATTTTTTTCTGTTTCCTTTCAGCATTCCCTTTCATTGATTTCAGTTTTAGAATGTTTGATAGTTATTATTTTGTTTACAATCATAATCTTGAGTTTGCCTTTTCAACAAAATATTACTCATCCCAAAAATGCACAGAAGTGGGAAAGAGGCAAAAGTTTTGACTGGCATGTCGAAAATGATTTACATGCTGGGTCAAAGGTGACCCTATGTATAAAACCCAATGGAAACCATGTTCATTGGCATAAAAACAATTCAGAAGTTGTTCCATGCCATCTAGATTTTTCAAAGGCGACTGAAAATGAAGACTACAACATAAAACCCAATGAAAAACTAGTATATCTGGATACAAAAATTCCAGAAGTTGTTGTTCCAAACTATCTAGATTTTTTAAACGATTTAAAGTCAAAGGTGACTGAAATTGAAAACTACAAAATAAAATCCAACGAAAACCATATACATTTGCATGTCGAAATTCCAGAAGTTGTTATTCAAAGCCATCTAGATTTTTTAAATGCTAAACATGACGCTGGACTGGATCAAAGCCATCTAGATTTTTCAAATGCTAAACATGACACTGGACTGGAGTTTGTTATTGCAGCTGATCAATCGAATACGCATGCAAGAGAAACCAAAGAGGTGCACACAAACTGGTTTCCAGAAATGCTTGTTAAAATCCATCTAAATCCATCAAATGCAAAACAACATGACGCTGGACAGGAGTTACTTATTGATGCCGATCAACCGAAGACTAACGCGTTTGAGGAGCACAAAAAACCGAAAATGAAGTTTCTCAAAAAATGTAGTAGCTACATGTCTCGTCAATTTCCACGCTATAAAAAATTAATCAAAAAAACTATTTTAAAAGCCATTTTATCCGCATTTTTTGGCTACATTTTCAAAGCTGCTTTTACCCTAATTTTTTATTAATTTTATGCATACATTTATATCTCTTTTTATTCAAAATATTAAATTATATTCATAATATTAAACTACTAACTATATATTTTAACATAGTAGGTCTTATCCATAAACCTTTGGATAAACCTTATATCACATTTAATCAAAATATTCGACTACTAACAACCCACAAAAACTCGGTAATGACATGTACTTACACAACCGCTACAGGTTTTAATTTTCGGAAGGAGAACAAAATTATGTATGTAATTCACAAGACCAACAGCTAATCCATAGTGCATCCTCAGAGAGTTACAATTTTCCGGTACCAATGACTCCAATCTCGTATATTTTCACCATACTTCACTATTAAATCGTTAGCGTGATAATGCAACTCTTTCTCAGTTCATACTTTTCCAATTCTAGACATTTGTTCAGTGAGCTGGTCACCATAGAGCCTTTGTTTGTATATATCGAGTTGCATTGTTGCAAAGTGTATCCGATTCGACTTTAAATGTATACCTTATATTTCTATAGACGGAGTCAAGACCAGGATATACATCCGTACAAGCTATGTTCAAGTCCATATCTGCTTCGGCTTGTGCAATTTCATTTCCATGTTTATTATTATGACCAGGTACCCTTGCTGCTTCGCCCACTGCGACATTAATTTTTTAGTCTTTGTTTAATACACAATTTTTCACAAAAATTCACCCCTACCTATTCCATTATCATTCTTAGATTCTTCTTGATTATAAACTAAAATGGATACCGAATCTAAATGAGAGGGACTATGCTGCTATGTACTCATGTCACTACTACATAACGTCCGTCTGCATTACTTTTAAGTGCTCTTATAATGACATACATCTAATCAGACAAATAAGTACGTTATTTAGTAAGACCGCGAAATAACGAACAACATGTCCAGGTTCGTATTCTGTGTCTTCTGTATCTTCTTTTAACTGCCTAACTGTAAGTACTTATTTATGTAGTTATTTGTAAGCGTGGTAAGGACTTGCCTCCAATATCATCACCGTATTAAAATAATGTGTTTAAATGCTAATAAATAATTAGTGAAAAACGGCTGTTTTAGCTTTTTAACTCATTATTTTTCAATGTAAGTTTTTGCTGGGAATCCTTATAACTAAATAAATTATCTTTATATTTTATATTTTAATATAAATTTTATAATAAAAGCTTTAAAAAGCATTTTTTAATTTGTAGTTTTATTTAAAAACATCGCGGGACTTTTCAAACGTTATGAATATAGATCTATAATCAATTCCAAATTGCAGTGTAGTCCAGATTATATTCTCATCTAAGTTCATTATTGACAAGTCTATAGTGCAAACTTTAGTCCAGACTATAGCATAGTCTATGGACATCTAAAATCCAGACCCACTAATCTGCAGTTCACATTATAGATTAATCTAAATACAGCGCAAATCATATTTCTAGTCTATAGGCCTGACTATAGTCTTGTCTACAGTCCTGACTATAGACCTCACCATAGTCTATAATCTTCACTATAGTCTATAGTCCTCACTATAGTGGTATAGTCTATAGTTCTGACTATAGTCTAGTCTATAGTCCATACTATGTACTTTTGGAACATCAAATGTTCTCTATCGAATATAGTAACTGTAGTACAGTCTAAATTAAATTTTGATTTACAGTCACATTTATAGACTAGCCTATAGTGCAATCTTTTTAGTTCAGACTATAGTCTAGTCCAGTACAATGTTCAGGATATTTTCGCATTCGCATTATCATGTTTCCCTACTTTCCTATACTCAATGTTAAAATCATAAGACTGAAGGCGTTCAATCCAACATGGCAGTTGCCCTTCAGGTTCTTTAAATTGCAACAACTACCTAAGGGCGGGCAGAGTGATCGATTCTCAGTTGGAAGTGATATGATAGTGCTTGACACACTCAACTACTGCTAAGAGTTCGCGTTGCGTAACGCAGTAATTTCTCTCAGGTCTTTCCCACAACAAGCCTGTCATTCCGTTAAGTATTTTAATACTTAATCCATTAAACGCTCGAATATAGCTGGGGCATTGCAGAGTCCCTTTGGCATTACATTAAACTGCCATGGTCCATTACTAGCACTAAATGCTGTGTATTAGACAGCATTGTGTGCAATCTCCACTTGCCAATATCCACTTTGCAAGTGCAATGTGTAGATCCACTTTGTTGTCTCGCATTTTTACTCATATCTCCGTTATTAATTGATTTCAACAAACATACGGACAGACGGGTATATGTATCTTAGTCATCTCCACTATCTATAAGGCTCTAGAATTTACATACTTTATGGGTCTGAACAGGTAAGATTTCGTCCGTAATTTCGAGCAAAAATCAAGTAATTAAGCTCGGTTTGGTTGGGTTATGAAGAGATGTATAAAAAATAAATTTAATTTGTTAATTGTAATGTTAATAATAAAATCTAATTATATCACCCTGTTCGTGGCAGTATTAAAATAAAACAACTAATTTATTTTTTAGTATTGTTTATAATATAAAATATATTTATAAAAATTATAGAATTTTAATTGAAATATAAAAAAATAAAAATAATAATAAATGCTTATGTATATATTCTTAAAAAATTTTATCTGAATTTAATACATATGTTTTCTTAACGAGGCCATACACATTGTTAACTGTAATCCCGCAACGCCAAAGGCAAACAAGATTTTACCATAATTCGATTTTGTAAATTCGATAAAGCGTAAAATTTTGTTAATCCTTTTCTTTTCAGTGATTTGAAAATATCTGAACCAATCTTTAGCTATTAGGAAGATTATAAATACAATAGTAATTATGGTCAATAAGATGATCTGTAAAAAGAAAATAATATTATTATATAAAGCTTGCAGACTAAACTATAGAGAAGACTATAGACTACACTTTAGACTAGACTATAGAAAAGGCTATATACTGCACTATAGATTAGACTATAGATTAGACTATAGACTAGACTATAGACGAGACTATAGACGAGACTATAGACTAGACTATAGACTAGACTATAGACTAGACTAGACTATAGACTAGACTATAGACTAGACTATAGACTAGAATATAGACTAGACTATAGACTAGACTATTGACTAGACTATTGACTAGACTATAGACTAGACTATAGACTATAGACTATAGGGAAGACTACACTTTAGACTAGACTATAGAAAAGGCTATATACTACACTATAGATTAGACTATAGACTAGACTATAGACTACATTATAGACTATAGACTATACTATAGAGTAGATTGTAGAATAGACCAAATACTACACTATAGACTAGCCAATAGACTTGACTGTAGACTAGGCTATAGACTAAACTATAGACTATACTATAGACTAGCCTATAGACCAGACTATAGACTAGACTATATACTAGACTATAGATTAGACTAGACTATAAACTAGACTATAGACTAGACTATAGACTAGACTATAGACTAGACTATAGACTAGACTATAGACTAGACTAGTCTAGTCTAGTCTATAGTCTAGTCTATCGACTAGACTATAGACTAGACTATAGACTAGACTATAGACTAGACTATAGACTAGACTATAGACTAGACTATAGACTAGACTATAGACTAGACTATAGACTAGACTATAGACTAGACTATAGACTAGACTATAGACTAGACTATAGACTAGACTATAGACTAGACTATAGACTAGACTTTAGACTAGACTATAGACTAGACTATAGACTAGACTATAGACTAGACTATAGACTAGACTATAGACAAGACTATAGACTAGACTATAGACTAGACTATAGACTAGACTATAGACTAGACTATAGACTAGACTATAGACTAGACTATAGACTAGACTATAGACTAGAATGTAGACTAGACTGTAGACTAGACTATAGACAAGACTATAGACTAGACTATAGACTAGACTATAGACTAGACTATAGACTAGACTATAGACTAGACTATAGACTAGACCATAGAGTAGACTATAGACTAGACTATAGACTAGACTATAGACTAGACTATAGACTAGACTATAGACTAGACTATAGACAAGACTATAGACTAGACTATAGACTAGACTATAGACTAGACTATAGACTAGACTATAGACTAGACTGTAGACTAGACTATAGACAAGACTATAGACTAGACTATAGACTAGACTATAGACTAGACTATAGACTAGACTATAGACTAGACTATAGACTAGACTATAGACTAGACTATAGACTAGACTATAGACTAGACTATAGACTAGACTATAGACTAGACTATAGACTAGACTATAGACTAGACTGTAGACTAGACTATAGACTAGACTATAGACTAGACTATAGACTAGACTATAGACTAGACTATAGACTAGACTAGACTAGACTAGACTAGACTATAGACTAGACTATAGACTAGACTATAGACTAGACTATAGACTAGACTATAGACTAGACTATAGACTAGACTATAGACTAGACTATAGACTAGACTATAGACTAGACTATAGACTAGACTATAGACTAGACTATAGACTAGACTAGACTAGACTATAGACTAGACTATAGACTAGACTATAGACTAGACTATAGACTAGACTATAGACTAGACTATAGACTAGACTATAGACTAGACTATAGACTAGACTATAGACTAGACTATAGACTAGACTATAGACTAGACTATAGACTAGACTATAGACTAGACTATAGACTAGACTATAGACTAGACTATAGACTAGACTATAGACTAGACTATAGACTAGACTATAGACTAGACTATAGACTAGACTATAGACTAGACTATAGACTAGACTATAGACTAGACTATAGACTAGACTATAGACTAGACTATAGACTAGACTATAGACTAGACTATAGACTAGACTATAGACTAGACTATAGCATAGACTAGACTATAGACTAGACTATAGACTAGACTATAGACTAGACTATAGACTAGACTATAGACTAGACTATAGACTAGACTATAGACTAGACTATAGACTAGACTATAGACTAGACTATAGACTAGACTATAGACTAGACTATAGACTAGACTATAGACTAGACTATAGACTAGACTATAGACTAGACTATAGACTAGACTATAGACTAGACTATAGACTAGACTATAGACTAGACTATAGACTAGACTATAGACTAGACTATAGACTAGACTATAGACTAGACTATAGACTAGACTATAGACTAGACTATAGACTAGACTATAGACTAGACTATAGACTAGACTATAGACTAGACTATAGACTAGACTATAGACTAGACTATAGACTAGACTATAGACTAGACTAGACTAGACTGACTAGACTAGACTAGACTAGACTATAGTAGTCATGTATAGTCATATATAGTCATGAGTCATGACTATGTCTTTATAGTTTTCTCTATATAAACATATATTCTGGATAACAGTCCTTTCTATAGACTTGGCTCTATTATATTCCATATAGTCTTTTACACACTTTTTTATAATTATTGCAGTAAATAACATTTATTATTGAACTTACATTTAGCGTTATTGGATCGTTGGCTGCATCCAACTCTTCCAACTTCAAGCCATTATTAAGTGGTTTATGATTTGGTATAACAACTATTTCCGGAATTTCTAGATATGTATGAAAGTTATCAAAAAGTGATGTTGACTCCATTTTAAAATCACCTGCTAATAGAAAAAAAACAACAATTTTATATATTTAGAATATGTTCACACTTTGGTTTTAAAATAGTTTGCTTGTTGAAATCTGGAATATTCTGTTTGTTTTTTGTTAAAAACATAAGCCATTACACTTTTCCAATTTATGATGAAATTCTTGGTTCAGACTTACATCCAATGCAAGTTTTTTTTTTTTTTGTAAAATTAAATGGTATGTTTTTTTTTTTTTTGTATTGATATCTTTTTGTTTTGTTTTAGTAAACAGTTGCTTTATAAATCTTAAGTTATTAAATTAAACAAATAAAGTTTACAAACCAATAATTAAATATTTGTTCTGTTGTATGACCGCTCGCTTCAAGTTCTCAATTGCTTATGGAATAGTATTCAGCTCCGAAACTATAAATTAATATATAATATATGTATATCAAACATCGGTAGAGAGTAAAATTTACTTCCCTCACTATTACCACTTCATTTTGTGTTTTTACATTGATTGCACTGTAATTTTGAGTACATACACTGAAAGAAAAACACTTCATAACCCTAATTAAGCGAACTATTATTTAGAATAGATTTTCTATGGGATTGAGATCTGGTAGGCCACTTCATTGTAACCACTTGGTTAAAACTCATTATTCGACTTTTAGGGTCATTGTCATTTTGAAATTTTCAAACTAGATCCATAATATCCACTGCGAATGGATACATTATGTTTTGTTTAATGGATCCTCTATGTTATACCACCCATAGTTTATTTTATAATATGAATTCGATCAATATGTTGTCCTGAAAAATAGCCACCGCTTAACTTTACATCGATAATCGTGTAATTCGGATTTAGTATCTTTCCCTTTTGCGGCCTTAAAATTGAACTTTGACATGTACAAAAGAGAACTGTATTTCATATTGATACAACTATTAATTATTAATAATAATTTGGACCATTTCTAAAATACTTGAAAAAGATTTTATTATTCTGTCACTCACTGTATATGTATAGTATATTAAAAAGCTTTAAAACTATCAGAATAACGTTTTAGAGAGTACGACGTACTATAAAATATATTATAAAACGTTTAATCATGAAACACCAAACAGATTTCAGTAAGAGTTGAGAAGTTAAAGGAAACGGGTTAATAACAAAGTGGATAT